GCTTGTCAGGCCATGCTGTGGTGGCGTCCCATACAAAGTGGAGGAAGATGGGCACAGACGTTAGCCCAGGGCCAGTCTTCCTCAGCAAAAAGAGGAGGATTGGCATGGATGTTAGCTCAGGGCTGATCTTCCTCAAAGGACTTCAGTAACTAAGCTTTCTTAGGGGCCGTATAAGATCCCAATAAGTCATATTACAAAAAGGGCAATGGTAGAGATGTGCACAAGCTATTACAGGAGCACAAAGGATTCAGAACTTTGCTTTTTTAAAAAAGAGATAAAAAAGCAATATATTTGTTTTACCTCATCAAGATCTTTGGTCTCTCGGCCCAATTCATCATCATCTTCATCAGAATCAAGCTCTGGTCCAATATAATTCCCAAACTCATCATACAAGTCAGTATCCATGATGCTGAAATTCAAGAAGAGGAGTTAGATTCTGGCAAGGTAATCAAGGCCTCCATGACACGGCCCCACCTTTCCAGCCTTATGGCTGACCATACCCCTTCACACATCTCCTCTCCAGTTACACCAACCTATTGACTGCTCCCCCCAAAGCCATGTGCCCGTCTCCCCTCTCTGCTCTACTTGTTGTCTCTGTTTACATACTCCTCTCACTTCTTTTTTTTTTTTTTTAAAGATTTTATTTATTTATTTATTTTTCCCCCCAAAGCCCCAGTAGATAGCTGTGTGTCATAGCTGCACATCCTTCTAGTTGCTGTATGTGGGACGCGGCCTCAGCATGGCCAGAGAAGCAGCGCGTCGGTGCGAGCCCGGGATCCGAACCCGGGCCGCCAGCAGTGGAGCGCGCTCACTTAACCACTAAGCCACGGGGCCGGCCCTCACTTCTTTTTTTAATAGTAAAAAAATTTTAATTTTAAAATAATACTAGAAAGTTGCGAAAATAGCTCAAATAACTTTCTTTTTCCTAAATCATTTCAGAATAAGCTGCTGACACAATGCCTCATGTATTCCCTAATACTTTAGTGCAGGCATTAGCAAACTATGGCCTGTAGCCAAATCTGGCCTGCCACCTGTTTCCTACAGCCCCCAAGGTAAGAATGCCTTTTACATTTTTAAATAGTGGAAAGGGGCCGGCCTGGTTGGCGCAAGCCGTTAAGTGCGCGCGCTCCGCTGTGGAGGCCCGGGGTTCACTGGTTCAGGTCTCAGGTGTGCACCGATGCACCACTTGTCAAGCCATGCTGTGGCGGCGTCCCATATAAAGTGAAGGAAGATGGGCACGGATGTTAGCTCAGGGCCAGTCTTCCCCAGCAAAAAGAGGAGGATTGGCAGATGTTAGCTCAGGGCTGATCTTCCTCACCAAAAAAAAAAAATAGTTGAAAAAAAAATCAAAAGAATAATATTTCATGACACATGAAAATTAATTATATGTAATTCAAATTTCAGTGTCTATAAAAACAGCTTTATTGGAACCCAGCCACGCTCATTCACTTATATTGTCTGGCTACTTTCACACTGTCACAGCAGAAATGAGTAGTTGCAACTGAGCCCATATGGCCCACAAAGCCTATAATATTTACTATACTTTAGTAAATATATAGGCCCTTAATAGAAAAAGTTTGCCAACTGCTGCTTTAGTGTGTGTGACTCCTACAAACAAGGACATTCTCCTACAGAACCACAATACAACCATCAAAATCAGAAAATTAGTATTGACACATTACTACCACCTAATCCACAGACTCCCAGTGAACTTTCACGAACTGTTCCAATAATGTCCTGCACAGTAAAGGACCCAATCTAGAATCACATATTTGCATTTAGTTGTCATGTCTTGAGTCTCTTTCAAACTGGAACAGTTCCTCAAGTCTTCCCCTGACTTTTATGACTTGACACTTTTGAAGATTACAGGCTACTGAGCTTGTAGAATGTCCCTTAATTTGAGTTTGTCTGATGTTGCCTCATGACGAGATTCAGGTTATGCATTTTTGGCAGGAATATACCAGAAGTGATGCTGTGTTCTTTCCAGTGCATCTGCCATCAGGTGGTACACGATTTTAATTTGTCCTATTAGTGGTAACGCTAACTTAATCACCTGATTATGGTGGTGTCTACCAGGCTTTTCCATTATAGTTACTTGTTTTCTCTTTGTAATTAATAAGTATTTCATGGGTTTTCTCCACTTCAATTATTGACATTCTATTCAAAGTAAGAGTTCAAATGACACTTCCTTCAAGCTTTCCTAGATCTGCAATTTCTCACTCTCCTATGCCACTATAACCTTTTGCACCTTTATCAGCATTTAATTCTGTCTTGAATGTCAGTTAACTGTACTAAATACCCTCACCAACAACTCTAGAGCTTACAAGTAATAAACAGCAGACCACAGCACGAGTTAAGGGTTAAGGCTCTGAACCTGGAAGATCTAGATTTGAATCCTAACTTTGTCACTTAATAACTATGTAACTTCAGGTAAGTTATGTACCTAATAACTATGTAACTTCATCTCTCCAAACCTGTTTCCTCAACTGGAAAATGGAGTGAATAGTCCCCATTGCATAAAAGGTTATGAGAATTAAACAAAATAGTCTGTGTAAAGAATTTACACAATCTCAGGCTCAGTAAACATTAGTTAGCATTATTTTTTGGCCATTCTTGAATTCACGAACGCTGAGTTCCTTGTGCCCACCTGCCAATGCCCCAGACAGCACCATGCATAAGTAGGAACTAGATAAATGTTAACCGAATGGACTGTTTAATTTTGAGATACTGATATTCCTTGTACTAGGCTAATCCTTCCATTTCCCTCAATGCCACCTGTTGAGTGCTGGTTGTAGATAAAATAGAGAATTAAGAGCTCCAAGGACAAGTAATTAAATGTAAATTATAATGGAAACTTTCATACACATCGAGATTCTTTTTACTTCCAAAGAGCTATCACGTCTATGCTCATTTCATTCTCCCAAGACCCCCACGTAGTGATTGCAGAAATTTTTATAGAAGGCTCTTCATGGAACAAGCCAAGCTCATTTCTGCTGCTGGGCCATTGCACTTGCTATTCTCTTTGGAAATGATCTTCTCTTGGATATTTATACCTTGTTCCCTCATTTCACTCAGGTCTCTACTAAAATGTCACCTTCTCTGAGAAACCTCCTTTGTCACTCTAAAAAGTCCCCTATACACACACTCTCCAATCCCCACTTTCACTGTTTTATTATTCTTCGTAACATTTATCCGTAGCTGACATATTCATGTGTTTACTGTCATCTCCCCAACTACAATTTAAGGAAGGACTTTGTTTTGTTCACTTGGAACAGTGCCTGGCACAAAACAGGACCTCAATAAGTATGCGTTAAACGCATGAATGACTCCAACAAGGCACAGAGAAGACAGCTGATTTGTCCACAGTTGCATAAAACTAACGACTTTCGGTACCAAACTTCACTGCTGCTTCCCGCTATAACGCAGGCTCTCAACGGAATACAGAATAAGGACAGAGGGAGCTTGGTAGAGAAAGGGTGAAGGCGGAACAGATGGAAAAGGGAGTGAGAGGGGACTGGACAGTGAGAGCACGACCCCTGCCCAGGAAAGGGGTTTTACGAATGAATGATATCGAGGGAACCGCGGAATTGGGGTGCGTGTGTGTGTGTGGGGGGGGGGTTCTTTCTTTCCCTTTCCCGCAGAACGCCTCCATTTACCCATCTGTAAAGTGAAAGGATCAGATAGCATATAACGTCTCTTCCAGATCGGACATTATTTAATTTCCCATCCCACTTCCCATGCGGTTGACCCGCGCCAGCTCACCTCCCGACCGCTTAGCCGAAAGCTCCAAGTCCGCCACCGGAGACCGCGCTTCCGCCCCACGCCGCGCCAATGTGTGCGCCCGCTGTCCAGAAGGACCCCGCAGACGCCGCCGTCGCGTTTCTGCCCCGGAGGACAGCCCTCTGCCTGAGGACCAGCTCGGAAGAATGCCGGCCGCGGACACAGGAACAGGCGAGGTGGAGTTGTGGGCCCCCAAACCAAGGAGTGGGCTGCTCCCAAGAGAGTGAGGGTTGAGCAGGCCTGAATCTGATCAGGCGCCTTGGGACCACACTGAAGGGGGCCTTCGGGCCGATCACGTGAGCAGGCTGTTGGAGCAGTTGCTGGGCAACCACAGCTGCTGGGCGTGGTCTACACTGAGCTGTGCTGTTCTCGCGTATCTGCGGATCTTCAAAGAAAGCAAGGGAATCAAGGCCAGGGCTGGTGGAGTGAAGGTCAGAGGGTCAGAAGAGTTAGTTCTATTTATTCAATGACTGGGGAGGGCTCAGAACTAGACAGGAGCCAGGACACTTGAGTTCAGTTCCTGGCCAGCCCAGCGCCCTTCTTGGTGTTCAGCTTACCCACTTTGGGGTGGAGGGAAAGGGCTATGGGGTTGCTTGCAGACCTCCTGCCTCCCTGCCCTAGGGCCGTTGATGATGACTCCGCCACGAAATCTAGCTCAAAGCACCATGAATCTGAGGTTCAAAGAGGTCTCACAGCAAGTAAATGCCAGAGCCAAGACTAGAACCCATATACAGGATCTCCCTGTAGAAAGGATCAGTCAGCCTCAGATACGTGCAGGCTGCAGAAGTACAGGTGCAGAACTAAAGAGGTTGCTCAAGTACCTAGGGACTTGTGCTGGAACCCTGGGCTGGACAGAGGGATTTGGGGACAGGGATCATTAAGCCCCTTCCTCTGCCTAACTTCTACTTGATTTCCTGCTTAGTCATTGCATCTGGTTTGGTTGCAATGTATCTTTCCCAGATAAAGACGGTTGAAATTTTATCCCAGGGCTCAAGAGTGGCTAGCAATAGTTCTGCTTTTGTGTGAGGTTCTCTATCACAACTTGCTATAGAATGAACCGATGTGGAAGAGTTAGTGGACTGAATTCTGAGATCCAAATACCTCCTCAGCCAAGCATCAAAATTAAAGTATTTTTAGAGGCAGAGAAGAAAATTAAAGCAGGGCTCCAATCTGAAAGTCAGGACTCTCTATTTTCAGTGACAGCAAGTCTTAAGCAAGTCCTCACTGTGCAACTCAGCTCCCCTCTGTAGAGAACTAGATATTTATAACACTCCCCAAGATAAGTGACAAGATATCCAGAGTGGTTTTGGATCATTTTGTGGGCTGGCAAAGACTTCATATGTACCCTCTTCCCCCTGATATTGACCCTTCTCTGATGTCCCTTTGCACAGGCCATGGAAAGAAATGACATCATCAACTTCAAGGCGTTAGAAAAAGAGCTGCAGGCTGCAGTCACTGCTGATGAGAAGTACAAACGGGAGAATGCTGCCAAGTTACGGGCAGTGGAACAGAGGGTGGCTTCCTATGAGGAGTTCAGGTTGGCCTAATGCTGTTTTTCTCAGGCCCTCCTGTTATGGTGAACAGTAGTGGATAAGAGCGTGTGATTTGGTGTCAGACAATTCTGGGCTCAGTCCTGGCCCTACCTTCTGCTACCTGTGTGATCTTATGCAAGTTATTTAACCTCTCTGAGCCTCTATTTCCTCATCTGTAAAAGAGAGTAATCATTTTTATGATTAAATAAGTTATTACATGTAAGATTGTGAGCACAATGTCTGGCACATGGGAAGTGCTCAAAAGCTGTCAACTATTGTTGCTGGTGTTATTACAGTCATTCTTTGCTGAACAATGGAGATATGTTTTGAGAAATGCGTCATTAGGCTATTTCATCATTGTGCGAGCATTACAGAATGTACTTACACAAACCTAGGTGGTATAGCCTACTACACATCTAGGCTATATGGTATTAATCTTATGGAATCACCATTGTGTACGTGGTCCGTCGTTGAATGAAACGTCATTATGCGGCACATTATGACTGTATTGTTATTATTATTGTCATATTGGTGTGCCAACAGGTTCTGCCTATATCACGCAAAGTCCAGCCACCTCCCATACACAGACAGCATTAGGTCCATCCTCTGATCTGTGTCTTTTGCTCATAGGGGTATTGTCCTTGCATCACATCTGAAGCCACTAGAGCAGAAGGACAAGATAGGAGGAAAGAGGACTGTGCCCTGGAACTGTCACACCACTCAGGGAAGGACTTCCCAGGACGAGACCACTGAAATCTCCCAGGTAGGTGAGGCCCAGCCTTTCAACCCAGCTGGATTCTCTGCCCTAAACCTCCAATCCTGTCTTCTTACAACACATACTTTTTCCTTATTTCTCATGTTAAGCCACAGAGGCAGGTTTCTGCCTCCAATCCCAGAAAGAAAAGCAACTAGTGGATGGTGAGGCTGAGTTAAACTGGGCAGAACAAGTCAGAACGGTGGGCGAGGCAGCTCCCTTCCGTCAGTCCTTTGACTTGCATTCCCAGATCAGATTTGGGTTGCTCTGCCTCTGGGTTATATGGTGTATAGTATAAAGATTCTGTGGCAGTGTTGGGAAGGAGACCCAGCCTGTCAGATTCTTAACACTCACCTTGAGTTCCTTTCTCTCTTCCTGAGGTTTCTGATCATCCCCTATGCCCTGTTCCAAGTAAACCCTCACTTACTCTCCTAGAGCAGGGCTATGTCTGCATTCATCAGTAGGAAAATCCTGGTACAACTGAGAATCTCAAATCATGGCCTGGGTTCCTTGGGACCCTCCTGCCCTGTCCCCTTCCCCATTCCTTCCTCTGAAAATGAGGCCCACAGGGACCACAGCCTTGCCAGTGCTCAGGGAGCAGTACCAGAGCTAAGATGGAAACCTAGAGGCTCCCCTCACTCTCACTGTTGCGGAACAGCTGGAAGAGCTCAGGACTCCTTTTCCTTCCTTTGTGATCCAGGAGAACACACTCCTCCAGCCTGAGACCTCGGCAGACTTCTACCGTGATTGGCGGCGATACTTGCGGAGTGGGCCAGAGCGCTACCAGGCCCTGCTGCAGCTCGGGGGTCCAAAGCTGGCCCGCCTCTTCCAGACGGATGTGGGGTTTGGACTTCTAGGGGAGCTGCTGGTGGCACTGGCTGATCACGTGAGGCCGGCAGACCGGTCGGTGGTGCTGGGGATCCTGCGCAGCCTGGCCAGCACCGGGCGCTTCACCCTGAACCTGAGCCTGCTGAGCCACGTGCAAAGAGAGAGCTGCAGAGGCTTGTTTCAGAAGCTGCAGGCCATGGGCGCCCCCAGACCCATGAAGGAAGGGCTCAGCCAGAGGGAGTGGGGTGTGGAGGAGCTGCCTGCTGGGCTCCAGGAGGAGGAGAGGCTCCTCCAAGAGCTGCTAGGGCTGTACCAGATGGATTAATAGGACCAGTTACCTTCAGAGGCCCCCAGTGGTCATTGGAGGACTTTTTTGGTTGTTGTCTTGGGGGCTCTACAGGACTGTAATGAGAAACCCACACCTAATTCCCTTCTCAACTTGGAATTTTCAGGGCAAAAGCAGGAATCGAATCTTCCCTTCCTCTCCAGCCCCGTGGTGGCTCAATATTCTGAAGTGTGTAGATCCACAGGATGGTCAAGGGCCCAAGAAGTTGAAAGTGTTTTGCTTCTCACCCTTACTGTCTGCCAAGCCTCTAGCCCTCAGCCCTGAGAGATGGGTGTGTGCCCAACCAAATGCTGGCTACACCAGTTACAGCCTCCACTCAAAAAAATGGGAAAAAGGAAAATCATTAATCTTCCATGGTAAACAAATACTGATCTCCATAGCTCTTAACAAGAATCTTTATAACTTAAAACCAATGAATGGGCATTTAATCCACAAATGATCAAAGGGTACCCCATTTGAGGTGCAGTATTTTTTCCCCAGGGACTGAGTTCCTGTGCAGGCTGGGCCTGGGAAAGCCCCAAGCCATTAGCTCAGGTCTGGCCAGCTTCCCAGGCTTCTTCAGGTGGCCAGATGTGCAGGCCGGCGGGTTTCCTTCAACTCCCAGATTAACCGAAGGGAAGACCTTTCCACTAGGTAGGCAGGGCAGGGCCTGGAGCAGAGAGGCCGAGATTTCCTGTCCTAGCACCTGGGCCCTTGCTTCTCATTCCGGTTTCCCCCGACCCATTCTTGGGTGAGTGCCAGTGTTCTAGAAAGGGGAGAGAGGGCCAGGTTCTAGAATGGCTTTCCCTCCAGATTATGCCTGGAACATCAGAAGGGCATCTTGTATATCAGCTGGGAATAAATTGCCTTGCTTTTGGCTGCTTGCTTTACAGATTGTTACTTCTTTTCCTGGCTATTTAACCCTTTCCTCATATAGATGCCTCCTCCCAGCAGTGATTTCTAGAAGCCCCAAAGACCTTTAGTGCCTGGGTTTGCCTGCCCTCTCTGACCCTTCCCTCCTGCAGGCATGAACCTGGCCCACACCACTGTGCTCCTGTGGGTGTGGGGGAGTCTCCAGGCCTTTGAAATTGTGGAGAAGGAGAACATTTTTCAGAGGACCCCTTGCCCGGCTTTCCTGATGTTTGACAATGCGGCCTACCTGGCCGACATGAGCTTCGAGCTTCCCTGCCACTGCAAGCCAGAGGATGTGTCTGCTGTCGTCTGGTACTACCAAAAGCACCTAGGTAGCGGCCACACCAAAGTGCTGACAGACTTTGATGGGCGGGTGCTGACGGAGGAAGCCCAGGTGCGTGTGGGCAGTGACATGCTGGTCCGCTTCAGCATCCGCATGTTCAGCCTGTTGGTTTTCCGGGCCCAGCCTGAGGACTCTGGCTTGTATTTCTGTGGCACCCGCAAGGGGGACTACTTTTACGCTTACGATGTGGACATCCAGAGCAGTGAGGGAATGGTGGCCACCTTCAAGGACCAGGGTCAGGAGCCCTTTGAAGACGAGTACCATGGGAGCCTCCATGTCTTCACCACCTTCTGGGAGTGGACCCCCTGTGACCGGTGCGGGGTGCGCGGGGAGCAGTGGCGCCTTGGCCTCTGCTACCTGCAGAGCCCAGACCTCTCCCCACGCTACCGCAAGACGCTGCCTGACGTGGTGTCCTGTGGTTCGCGGGCTGTGCCAAGTAAGCTTCAGGCCAAGGCCAGGCACCACACACCTGAACTGCTGGTTCGGAGCTGTATGGTGCCCTGCGAGAAGAACAAGGTGGTCCGGGAGGGCATAATGGCCATCTTCAACTATGTGTCCAAAGTGGGCAGCCGGCCCTGGGTGCCCAAGGTGCCCATTCAGTTCCACCAGCAGAGGCTGGGCCACGGACTCATCATCTCCTGTCCTGGGGCTCGGCCAGAGCATGCTGTGGCCTGGGACAAGGACCACCAGTTCCTCTACCGCACACAGTACCTGAAGGGCGTCAACAGGTCCATGAGGGTGTTCATCGACCATGGCAACCATCTCCACATCCGCTTTACCCAGCTGAGTGACCGGGGCATCTACTATTGCTGGCGGCAGGGGACGCAGGTCGCTGGGTTTCGACTGGGCGTGACATCTCGAGGCCGCTACCGGGTCTCCTTCTCGGACCCTGAAACTCGCTCTGCCATGGAACTCACCCTGATAGGCTACCTGCTCATCACGGCAGTCTTTGTCACCATTCACCTCTGTCGTTGCTGCTGTTACTTATTTCGCTGTTGTCCCAACTTCTCCCCCTAGGCTCTGTCTTCCCCAGCTCTGAAGACCAGTTGTGCTTAAATGTGTTCGTTAAATGATACCAGATGCCTCTGAGTGGGCATCCTGGGCTGGGATGTGTGGCAAGGGGGTGTGGACAGATCTGTTGGTTACAGCCTGCTCCCTATTTTCACGGGCACGTCTAGAACCTGCTCTGGGAAGAGGGGAAGCCTGAGGCAGGTGGGAGATGGCGGACTGAGGCCAGGATGGAAGTAGCCGGGGTACATGTGTCTTCTGACTTCATGCTTAGAGAAGGATGAAGGGGCCTATTCACTGTTGAAGTGTTTGAGGTGCTTTATTGTCTTGCCTTCAAGGATTGCCAAGTGGGTGCTGATTGAATTGGGGGTAGCAGGGAGAGAAAAGAAGAATAGGGGGGCCTAGTACCTGTCCTCTTTGCCTTCCTCCCGAGCCTCGCCCTGGGCCTGGCCGGTAGAAATGGTGGGTTTGGCAATAAAGGTAACAACTAGAAGAGAAGAAATGGGTGAGGAAGGTGGAGGTCAAATTCCGGGCTTTCCTGAGACACTGCACCCAGGCTGGGGACTGGGGGTGACATGAGGGGCTGGGAGCAAAGTGGGGGGCACTAGGGCTGCCGTGGCAGAGCAGGGTTGGAAGTGGGATTTGTCATGTGGCTGCTGCTGTGGGGGTTTGGGATCCCAAGACAATTAGTGATAGGAAGCAAGTTGGGTCTTGTCCAAGGCTACTTCCTGCCCCCTTCCCCCAGCGCCAGCCTCTCCTGAACAGATCAGAGTCCACTCTGGGGAGGCCACAGCAGTTGTCTTTATTAACCTCAGTGACTAAAGACGGCAGCGGCGCCCTGAAGGTTAGCAGCAGCGGGTTGGGGAAAGGGCACCAAGTCTCGGAAGGAGGGAGGGATCCCCACTTCTCTCTCCCTTTGGCCTTAGAGGGGAGAGGGGGACCCTGGAGTGGGTCCTCTCCACCCCACTCTGGGCACAGATAATCCTGTGCCCCCACAGTCTTCCCGTGAAAAGCAGAGCAGGTGCTCTGGGTCAAAGTGTCTGCCCTGAGCTGCCCCACCTTCAGGCTACAGGAACACAAACCAGGGTCTTCACTCTGCTCGTGCCTCAACTTCCCAAATTATAAAATAGGGTGCTACCTAAAATATGGCAGTACATTTTGTATTTGAGTAAGAGGGGACCACGGGCCCTTGGCTTCGGGAAAAGCAGCAGGTCACTGTGGGGTGGAGAGAGTCAGATGTATTGCGGTGGCTTCACCCCTTTGCTGGGGCCAGGAGGCAGCAGCTGCAGAGGCTCAGAGGCCTGGGTGGACTGGGATTATGCAGCAAGGAAGGGGCCTTTAGAACTGGGACAAAGTGTGTCCTGCCCCTGTGGACAGCAGCACCTTTCTCTCCTGTTTCAGCATCTCCAAGAGGATGAGTCACTTCCTTGAGTCCCACAACCCAGAGGCCAAGTGTAACTGGTCACCCACAACCCCCAACTCCAATGTCTAGCATCATCCCAATGGCCTCCTTCACCTGCTCCCCTAGCCTAGATGGGAGGAGTCCTCCGGGGCTTGACCTCCCTGTACCCACACCTAGGGGCCAGGCAGCCCCCTTCTCCTCCCTCCCAGCATCTCTGCCCTCTCCACTTACACTATAGATCCCCCAAGTGCTGAGAATCAAGCTCCCACATGCCAACAGCATGCCCATAGCGTGTCCACATGGCAGCTCAGTGGGGCTGAGACACTTGAATCATCACTCAGGAGGCCCCTGTCTGGTGACTACTCCAGGTGACAGGTTATCCCCACCCACTCTGAGACTGGTCAGGCTCAGTCTAGAAGACTAAGCCTCTGGCCAGGGCTGCCTTGCCTGTGGGGACTTCCCCTTCCTGTCTCAGTCTCAGTTTTCCTCCAACAGCCGGAGGAAACTCAAAGGCCCATTTCCCAGATACCCCTAGAGGCCTCCAGCTCTGGCAACAGTTGCCATGACAACGGAGATTAGGCTATGGAGGGTGATTTATTATGTCCCTGCCCTCCCCAGCTTCTCTCCTCCCTCCCAATTCTAACTCAAGCTGCTGGCCACGCCCCTCCAAGCTGCCTCTTTGGAGTGAGTGCCCTGTTAGTTGGAGTTACTGAGTGCAGAGTGGGTGCTGTCTGGCAGGCCTAATGTTGATGGAGCCTAGGGCAGCAAGCTGGCATAGAGATGGAGCAGGGAGGGGTGGCTGGGGTGGGTGGGATCTCAGGTCTTGGGAAAGTAGCTGTCAGAGGAGGGGCAACTGTCCTGTCTCCTGCTGCAGGCCCCTCACGCCTTGGGGCAGGGGCCACCAGGCGGGTCCCGCCTCACATCACGTCCTTGTGCTCCTGCTTGGACTCCTTAATGACCTGCGGGGACAGAGAAGGTGCACATGCCACGGTTAGGAGCTTACCCAGACCCCAGGTCCACCACTGCGAGGCTCTGTGACCTTGAGCAACTCTTTGGCTTTCCAGGGTCTTTCTTTTCTTTTCTAACCAGAACTCCCCCTGCAGCAGTCAGAGGGGAAATGAGGTAACATGTGTCAAGTGTTTAGCACCCTGCTGGTACATGGTGAGCTGATGGTGGAGGATTAGCTAGCGGTGTTGCTGGTGTGAGGGGGAGGAGGTTATGCCAAATCCCCTTCCTCTGGCAGGTTCCTTTAACCAAGCTAGAAATTGAAAGTTGGGAGTGAAACCTGCTAACTTTATTTTTCTTTCTCTTTCCTCCAGGCCTGGTGCTGGGGGCACCTGAGTTTCACAGGGAGAAAGGGAGAAAGCCTGAGTCAGGACCCCATCCAGTGGCCTAGGCTCCCCTTAGAACTGCTAGTGGAGGGGCTGGGGGGTTGAATTACAGCCAGGTTCCTTCTGCTCTTCCAGAGCCTCCCTGGAGAGCTCTTGTGAGTTATCAGGAACCTTCTATGTGCTAGTCCAGGCTGTCTTCCAGAGTCTGGCCTCAAGAACACCTGGGGGCAGCCAGAGCCAGATGGGGCCAGAATCTGGGTCTGCCCTCCTCACCTCTCCATCCCGCATCTCCACGGTCTTCACCACAATGTTCCTCTTGAGGTGGCCTTCTGACACGGCCTTTGTGTCCAGGCTGGTTTCTGCAGGTGTGAGGAGAGGAGGCCTCCCATGGGCTCTCAGGGCATGAGACATCCTCTCCCACCCCCGGCTTCCCCATCACACCCTAGTCATGAGTATGAAAGCCTATTCAACTGGGCAGGAAGGGCTTGGGCTCTTCCAAAGGGGATGGCAACCCCCAAGTCCCCACTATGCTGGGCAAGTCCTGGCTGCTCTATCCAGTGCCTTGCTTACTCTCCTGGCCTGGCTGCATTTCAGCCCCTCTGCAAGCCCTCACCTGGCACCTGGCTTTCTGATGACTTGGCGCTGTGCTGAGGGAGGAGCACATGGGCTTTGAAATCAGGCAGGCCAGAGCTTGAGTCCCAGCTCAGCCACTAACCAGCCACACGACTGTGGGCAAGTTAATTTACCTCTCCCAGCCTCAGTTTCCTCATCTGCAAAATGGGGAGAAAAGTGCCCGCTTCTCTAGGTGGGAGTGAGGAATCAGCTGAAATAATATGTTAAGCAACTGGCACATATTAGTGCTCAATACATGTGGGTTGCTTTGCTGTCCCCCTTCCCCTTTCCTCCTTTTCTCTCCCACTTCTCTGGGCCCTAGTGACCCCTTACTGTCTGGCACTTGGCAGTATTACATCTACCTGGTCCGCCTGGTTAACCCTTCTGATGCTGAACTAAGCCCAGGGACGTGCATATCTAGTGTTCCTCAATTTCTAGCCCAGAAGAAGAATAATTTTTTTTTCTTAGCTAAGAATCATTTGAGGGCCACATACAAGTAAGAAGTAATTTAGTTTTTCCCCCCCTCAGAGAGAAAAATATAACATGTCACACTCACTAATATTTAAAATTGAGAGCAGGGAGCATAAAACTTTATTCACCATTAGAGCAGCAGTCCAGGGGGAAATAATCCTCTGGGCTGAATCAGCACTGAGCTGAGCAACGGAGCCTCAGGGACAGACAAATCAAGCAAAGAGCCTGGCCACGGGGCACAGCAAGAGCCCAGGGGCCCTCCCAGTGATGGGGAAGAGGTAAGGCAGAGGCTGGCATTTTCTCAGAGGCCCCAGAGCATCTCATCTGAGCACCTGAAGACAGATCACTTTGAACACTGGCCGGTTCTGCTAATTTAACCTACATTTAACCTGTGCCAGGTCCTGGGCTGGGCACTGAGGTTGCTGGGAAAATGACGTAGGCTTGGCCCTTTAGAGGAACCTGGGAGGGGGAACCCAAGAGGATGGGGAAGATGGGTTGGGTAAGGCTCACTCCCTGTCACGCTGAGAAAAGCACCGTTTCTAAGAGGCAGGCAGCTAACCGAGAGCCGGCGGGGCTCCATTTACAATCTGGTGAGACTGTATTGGTATAACTTGTATTGTGAGGCTTTTGAGATGTCTTGTGACCTTGTGACATTCCCCTTCTTTGGTGCTTTTGCCCCCTGTAGTGACAAGCAGTTAAAAAAAACAAAAACATAAGACACTCAGATGGGCAGAGCTTGCTCAGGGATCTGCAGACAGGACAGAGGTTGAGACCCTCACCCAGTTCTGCGGTGGAATGGTGTGCAGGGATGGGTAGTGGGACACAGGGCAGAGCGGGACAAGAGCAACTGCAAGCCCCACCTGGAATGCCCTGGGATGGTGTGTTCTGGCTAGAAGCTCTGCAGTGAATCATGAAGGCCCCCAAGGAGAGCCCCAGGCCCCTTTGCCCTGGTCCTCAGCCCTAGGCCAGAGCAATAGCCCACAGGCCTGGGGGAGGGGGCAGGAATCCAACACCCTGCCCACCAGGCCCTGCTCTACTGACCTCGGATCTGCAGGTTGGAGAAGGTCTGCACAGGAATGGTGATGCTGAAAGACAGCAGAGGGAGGGGGTGACCGGGCTGCCCAAGGACATCCCCAGGCCAGGTCCTCGTCCAGGGTTATCATGATCGCCTCGAGGCCCTTCTCCTTGCCAGGAAAGGCTGACTCCATCTCCTAGCTTTCCCCAGCAGCCAACATGCTCCCTGAAGCTCCAAGAGTCTGCAGGGGGCTTGGGTGTTATCTGTGAGGGGAACATCTCTATTGGAAGGCAGCTTGGAGGATGGCAGAGGGGAGGGGAGAGTGGCGAAGAAAGTTCCAAGGATGCAGAAGAGATCGGTCAGGGGAAAAGAAGTCCAATCTTTGTTGGGAAGGGCTGGGGGGGTGAGCCTCTTAGTTTGGGGGGGTGACCCAAGTCCTCGCCTTGGGACCCAATCAACATTGGTTGAATTGAATCCATTCGTTCATTCATCAGACATTTACTGAATACCTACTGTGTGTTAGGCAAGCACTGTGCTGGGCACTGGAATAGGAGGGGGCTGGACGCAGGCTGAATGACACAGTCCTTGCAGGGAGCAAGGCGACTCTGGGGGCTGCAGCAAGAAGGATTCCATGGGGCTGTGGTCAGGGCTCACCGGTTCTCCTCGCCCTCCAGCAGCTTCCTGTAGGTGGCGATCTCAATGTCCAGGGCCAGCTTGACGTTGAGCAGCTCCTGGTACTCCTGCAGGTGGCGGGCCATCTCGTCCTTGAGGGTCTGCCCCTCCTCCTCCAGCCGGGCCAGCGTCTCCTGGTAACCCGCCGCCTCCCGCGCGTGGCGCTCCTCCTGCTCCCGCATCTGCCTCTCCAGGGACTCGTTCTGTGGGGTGGAGCGGCTGGTCCCTCGAGGCACCGTCACGCCGCCCCGCGCTCGGAAGGGACCGACTCGGAGAGGCTTCGAGTCCCCGCCCCGCCCCGCCCCGCCCCCGGCCGAGTCTCTGGTCGCGGAGTAACTTTTCGGAGCCCCGCCCAGACGTGGTCCTGCCCCGGGCCCTGCTCCTCGGGCGTCTCCCGGGGTTGCGGGTCCCCTGCTCCAGTCCGCCAGCCTCAGCTGGCCGACCGTGTCCGCCCCCTCCGGCCCTGCCCGCGCTCACCGTGCCGCGCAAGGACTCCAGGTCGCAGGTCAAGGCCTGCAGCTGGCGCCGGTAGTCGTTGGCCTCGTGCTTGGCCTGGCGGAGCAGCTCTGCATTTCGGGCAGCGGCGTCCGTCAGGTCCGCAAACTAGATGGGGAGAGGGCCCTATGCTGAGGGGCGGGCTGCGGCACATATGGCGACCCGTGGGAAGGCACGGTCTCTGGGAAATCCGGGAGGTGGGCAGGCCCCCAGGATTGTTGGCCAGGTCACTTTATTATTCCTAGTGACTGTGACCTATGAACAGGGTACAGAAGCCACTACTGCGTCTCTAGCACCTAGAACAGTGCCTGGCCAGGGAATGAACTCATGAACAGTTTGCCACAGAATCCAGAATCTCTTGCACTGGCAGCTCCATCCACGGACTGAACGCTGCTCTCCTCCACCATAGACAGTGGGTTCTGGTGAGCAGAGTCCTGGGTTCTTCTTCTTCTTCTTCTTCTTTTTTTTTTTTGTTGTGAGGAAGATTAGCCCTGAGCAAAAATCCGATGCCAATCCTCCTCTTTTTGCTGAGGAAGATTGGCCCTGGGCTAACATCTGTGCGCATCTTCCTCCACCTTATATGGGACGCCACCACAGCATGGCTTGACAAGTGGTGCCTCGGTGCACACCTGGGATCCAACCTGCAAACCCTGGGCTGCCGAAGCACGCATCTAACCACTATGCCACCTGGCCGGCCCCAGAGTCCTGGGTTCTAATAGCCCTCTCTCCCCCAGCTTGCAGTGAAGCCCTCACGGCTCCTTCAGGCCTCAACCTGCTCAGAACTAACACTGGCTTCTGCCACGCACACTTCTTTGCTGGGCGCCCTGGGCCAGCATCTCTGGGCTCCCGCGTCCCTGTGCTTTTCAGCCTCCAGGCCTCTATGCAGGCTCTGTCCTCCACTCAGAATGCCCCTTCCCTCTTCTCCTCATGTCCATAGCCTGCCAGTCCTGCTGAGGCCAAAGGCCCTCCCTTCTATGATGTTCTCCCTGGTCCCACACTGCACATAGACTCTGCCCTGTGGTCATGTCTATGGACACCATATTTGGGCACACATCACATCTCCCTGGGCAGACACAGCTCTGTGTCCCAGGCGGTGCCTGGCACACAGTAGACACTCAACAACCCAGGGCACAGACGGCAAAGGCGTCAAGAATGCAGGCTCCCAAGAGGGATGGCTGGGGTTGGAAATCCAGCTCTACCACTTAGGAGCTATGTGACTTTGGGCAGATTAGTTAACTTCTCTGGACTTCAGTTCGCTCATCTATCAAAGAATAGTACCTACTTCATAGTAAGATAATCCATACAAAGCACAGGGCCTGGCACACAACAATGTTGGCTAATAATAATAGTAATAGTAGCAATAATAATAATAATAATAATTACTTATTGGGAGTAAGAGTGCCTGTGTGACCCTGGCCAAGTCACTTCTCTTCTCTGGTGAAGGTCAGTTACCCAGAGAGGATCCTCTCCTGGCTTCCTTCCATCCTCCTTCCCCAATTCTCTTGTATGGAGCCAGGAGGGCTGCCTGGAGGAGGCAGGCTGGCCTACAGTCAGGGCTACCTTGGACCGGTACCACTCCTCTGCCTCGTGCATGTTGCTGGATGCCATTGCCTCATATTGTGTGCGGATCTCCCTCAGGGCTGCTGTCAGGTCTGGCTTGGCCACATCCAGCTCCACATGGACTTGCTGCTGGGCCAGCTGCTCCTGGAGCTCCCGCACCTCCTGGTCGGGGAGAGAGAAGTGACGCTAGGTCTCAGGGCCCAGGCCGCAACTGGGGTTCCCCCACAGTGTCATGCCCTCTTCTGCCTGCCCCTCAGACGTGGACGTTGGCTAAGGGAAATGGGGCAGTCCTAGTTGGAGGAAGTGGCATGGCCCAAGCTAGAGGAGGCAGGGGGTAGCTTAAGGGCCCCATGGTGTCCTCCTCCCAGGCCCAGACAGGCAGGAGCACTGAAGTGGCCTGTATTCTCATGGGAGAGTGACTAAGTCCCTATGGGTGGGTGTTCCTGTAAGGGTTCCTAGGTTCCATGGGATCACGGATTCTGAATCCATAGTCTGAGGTCAGAGCTCAGTGGGATCTTTTTTTATGAATGACTCTCATTTAAGTGAGACAGATGGCAAATGGGTGGAGTCAGAAAGACTAACTGTGTGACCTTAATAGGTTCTTTAACCTCTCTGGGCCTCAGTGCAAAGGAGATAATACTGGAAGGGTTTCTGTCTCAGGTCTGTAGTGAAGAAAAATATGAGGTTCCCTTGTCTGTCTCTATCTTTGTCTCCCTCAGGCTCTCTCTGTATCTCTCTCATTTTCTTTCTCTGTCTCTGAGTATCTCTCTCAGTCTCAGTCTCTTTGTCTCTCTCTCAATTGCAGTCTCTGTGTTGGGCTTTCCCCCCTGTGTCCTGGCCTCACCTCCTCATGTATCTTCCTCAGGAACCGGATTTCCTCTTCCAGAGACTCAATCTTCCTCTCCAGATCCAGGCGGGCCAGAGTGGCTTCATCTGCCTCCTGGAGTAGGGAAGGCGCAAAGGACCACTCTGACACCAGACTCCTCTTCCCCATTCTCTAGCCTTGTCTTACCCCTCCTTTTGGGTTGGGGAGAGCAACACATTGCTCTGGAGGGCTGGGCTTGGGTGGGCTACCATCAACACTCTCCCCCCACCATTTGCTCCCCCGCCAACCCCCTGACCTGTCGATAGGCAGCCAGGTTGTTCTCGGCCTCCAGTCTCAAGTTGGTTTCATCCTGGAGCCTGGGGTGGGGGGACACATTCCTTTTCTGAGGACTCTTGGATCCCTGCCTCAATCTCTCTGGAGGTGGCTGCCAGAGAGACCCCCCCAGGACTGTGGAGTAGCAGGAGGAGCGAGGGTCAGAGGGGTCCTAGATGGAAGCCTTGGCCAGAAGGGTGAGCAGATGAGGGCCTTTACTTTACCTCATTAGCAAGGGGCCTTATCAGGGGTGATGCACCCGCTCCTGCTCACGCAGGCACTTTCACCAACACACACCCACTACCGAGTGCACAAACCCTAGTCCTCCTGCCCTTGAGGGCTCATGCGCGTGCCCTGACAGCTCAGCAAAGCATCCTGCCCCTGTGGTTCCCTCTGACCTTTGGAAATGGGTTTTATGAAGATCTTGGCTTCACAGATGTGAAGTTGAAGTGCCTTGACTAGGGTCATAATCTAGTGACAGGCAGAGTCACCACGTTCTGAAGCGAGCCCTGCCTACTCTTTCTCCCACTTCCTTTACCCAGAGCCCAGTCCTCCCAGTGCACACCAACCTTCCCTTCCAACTCCTCCTTCATACAGGTCTGGGCTCAGAGTCCGCCAGCTCCCCGCCCAGAGTCACAAGGCCCCGCAGTGAATGAAATGCACAGACCCTGCCTGCTGGGGTCCCTGACTGCCTCTGCACAGCTCTCCCCAGTGGGGAGGTCCTGAGAGTACCCTGGCTCCCTGGAATCAGATCCCTGAGGCTCTGGGCCTCCTCCCAGCCCCTCCCATCATCTTGGGGAGCAAGGAGAGCCTTCCCCTCCCAGAAGTGGGGAAACTGGGGAGCAGGGAGGCAGAGCTCCCTGTGTGAGACTCTGAAGGCCTGCAGGCACTCTCTCTTGGGGGCTCAGTCCTCCCTGTTCATGAGGCCCCTCTCCTCCGGCCCCCTCCTCACTTCTGCCTCAGAGTGCCCAGGTCCTGCGCCAGATTGTCCCTCTCGACCTCGAGCCGGGCGCTGTTGGCAGTGAGTTGATCAAGCCGCAGCCGCAGTTCACGCAGCTCAGCCTGGTAGACATCGGCCAGCTTGGTGGGCTCCTTGGCCCGCAGCTGGTTCAGCTCGGCAGCCAGCGCCTTGTTCTGCTGTTCCAGGAAGCGCACCTTCTCGATGTAACTGGCAAAGCGGTCATTGAGCTCCATCATCTCTGCCCGCTCACTGGCCCGGGTCTCCTTGAAGCCTGTGTTGAGTGCCCCGGCCAGGGAGAAGTCCACCCGGGTCGGGAGTGGAGGTGGCATTCGAGCAAGAGAGAGGCGGGTGCCAGGACCCAGGCGGCGGCCTGCCACCACCTCTGAGGAGAAGACATAGGAGCGGCGAGCAGCCGAGGTGGCGCGTCTCCTCTCCATCCTGGCCTGGCTCTGCCTGCTCCTGGGTTGCGAGGGCTTTATGGAGGAGTGGGCCGGCCTGGCACTTCCCAGGCTGCCCCTGGCAACGCCCCCTGGCATAGCCTGAGGGGGTGGGGCTGGGCCGCAGCCCAGCCATGGGGAGAGCTCCTCTCACCCCACAGAGGTCACTGTGTCCAGAGGCAGGGCCTCCTGGGCACGCCAGTCCCCACCCCTTGCCACAGACAGAAGTACTGATGGGCAGTGCCTGGGACCTGATGCTGGGTCTGGGGCCTGACCACTGGGCAAGGAGACTCTCACTCTAGGAAGGTGGGTCAAGAAAGGGCTGGACCGGATGACCTCTGACCTGCCTTCCAACTCTTAGATCCCATAACCCAGGCCTTCTCTCACTGAGCCTCCTCCTTTGAGTGCCTGCTAGGTGCCGGAAATTTAGCAAAGAACAAACCTATTCCACACCCTCAAGGAACAGCCTATGTTACAGTTCCTGCTGAGCCCCGTTCCCAACAGATTGCTGGAGTCCTCCTCTCTGAATGCAGGCATCCCCCATTCCTGCTTTCTCCCCATTCCCTGAGTTCTGGGGCTGTGGGTTGGAGTTGGACACCAGCCCTTTGTCTGGAGGGTCAGTTGAGACCTCTCTTTAGCAGTGGGGGGATGATGGAAGGAGCGTGGAAACCCCGATAGGGCAAGAGGGGGCAGGTACTACACTCTCTGGCCCTCTCCCAGGGCCACTCTTAAGCCCCTGCCTCAGTCCCATTGGCCTCACCCCTCCCTCACCCAGCCTTCCTGCACCCCTGCCCCAGCCTAGGCCTTGACATCTCCACAAAGCAGTTATGAATGAGCTGGCTGTCCTGACTCCCATCTTGTTCCTGCGTCACCCTGTTTCCCTGGCCACTCCTCACCTCACTCTCACACTGGAGATTTATCTCCTTTGAGTTCCCACGCATGAGACAGAGAAGATGGGAAGGGCCCTGGGGACGGGTGGGTTAGGAGTCACTGGGTCCAAACTGGGAGCCAGGGGCCAGGGCCCTGTTGCTCTTTGAGACTTCAGATCCATCCACCCCTTCTACTCTGGTCCCACAGGGTCAGCTTTCCACCCAGGCCCCTCACCCATCTATGTCCTTGGACTTCTGGGAAGTGGGCAGCGTTCCTCTCCCCACCCCCCTCTGCCCACTGCCCATGCCTGGGCCTCTGCTCCCTTTTCCCGGGCACTTGCTGAATGGAGCCTTGTTCTCCACTGCTGGTGAGGGCGCCGCACAGCAACGGCAGCCCCCGGGGGGCTGTGCTGTTTTTGTCCCAAGATGCCAGGCTGTTAGGCGGAGTGCAGCCTAAGCCCCCTGCTCAAAGAACTTCTCGGAAAACATCTGAGGGGGGCTGGGGTGCAGTGGGGAGCAGGCTCTGTGCCCACTCCCGACCATTGTGTCCGTGCCAAGGTGAGTCATTCAGTGGGCACCAGGGGAAGGCCCTGGGGGGCAGCCAGCCCTGCTCTGCCAGGTCTTCAACTCTGCAGAAAAGGCCTGGTTGCTCGCCCCCTGCCCAGCTCTCAGAGCCAGCTCAGGCCCCTGAGCTCCTTTTGCGGCAATGCCCCTACCCCACGCCCGGGAACATGCTCTCCACTTGAGCATGTTATAGGCTGCTTGCAGAGGTTCCCCCCCGGTGAGTCCCAGTGCAGAGAGAGGAGGCGAGAGTCTCTAAGTCTCTGGCCGCACCCAACCCCAGGGGCTGAGCAGTGACATAGGGAGGGGAGTCTTGAGGAGGGGACACCCGGTGACTTTTGATCCTGCTGTGGGTTGGAGAGCTGGGGAAGGACAGGGGGCATTGAAGGAAGAGCAAGACTGGGAACAAACCCTCGTCCCAACTCCTCTCTGTGGCTACAAGTGTCTGCCCTTCCAGCCTGCAGGGCGAGTCAGTGGCCTCCTCGCTTCCTTCATGTGAAGTCTAGTTGAAATGAGTGCAAAGCAGTCCTGGAGGGGAAAGACATAGCAAGAGCAGGAAGGGCTTGTCAGCCATGCTCAGTGGATTGTACCTGCGTGTGCGAGACACAGGCTTGTGTCAGCAGCAGCAGATGGAGGCCCCCAGCCTTCACCTCCTTCAGTCACCTCCCTGGGCCCCTGTCACAGGCCCAGGCTTTCTGCCTCCGTCTTCAACCCCCATCTGACCCTCAGACCCATCCCCACACTCAGCCTTAACTATCTAAAGATGTCCACACAGAGAACCAAAGAGGTAGACAGGCTTGGTTGTGGGTGTTTGCCAAACTTTCATTATTTTTACACATTCTTTGTAGAAAAATCAGAAAATACAGATAAGCAAAACAAAAAAATAATAATTAGCCATTATTTTGCCACCTGGAGATAAACACTACCAGATTTTTTTCTACACATATAAATTCATTTTCTTACAAGTGGGCTCATGCTGTACAAATTATTTTGTAATTTGCTTTTTTCACTCAACAATATGTTGCGAACATCTTTCCATATCAATAAATATTTATCTACATCATCATTTTAACAGCTGCATGGTTTTCCACTGTATGCATTGATTTAACCAAGCCCTGTTGTTGGACAATTATGTTCTCTCTCTCTCTCTCTCTCTGTTCTGGATCACACTGTGATGCACATCTGCCCCAGGCAGACCCACCTCCTGGCTTCCAACGCTGCCCCCATCCTTCTGGTCTGGCTCAGGCCCCATCTACATAGGGTCTCTAGCTCTGCAGAAAAGGCCTGGCTGCTTGCCCCCTCCGCAGCTCTCAGAGCCAGCTCAGGCCCCTGAGCTCCTGTCGGGCCAATGTCCCTACCCCACGCCATGGGAGATGCTTTCCCATCCTCTCCTGCTTCCCCAATCTGAGGGCCTCAACATCCGAAGCCTCAAGCCAATCCTGGACTGACTTCTGGACTAGACAGCAGAAGCTGTGGGCCATGGAGAGAGGATGCCTAGACGCCCCTCCACAGGGCCTTCAGCCAAGCCATGCCCCACTTCAAGCCGAGGTGGGGAAAAGATGATCTTTTACCCCCTGTGCCAGGATGCCCTCCTGCCTGTGGGGCAGAGCCCACATGCTTCCTGGGACAGACCAACACCACATCTGGCCTCAACCCACACACAAGTTGCCCAGCATTTTCCAAATTTGCCAGCCTCTAATTCAAGTGGCTATTTTGCCACTGGACTGCTGCCCACTGGCTCTGCTTGAGCCCCTGCCCCTCTCCAGCGCCTGACATAGCTTGGCCGTCAGCAAGCGTGGGCGGGACGAAGAAAACGTGGGTCTCCCTGGCCCACCCCTTGGTGATGGTTGAGTCCATCCATTCCACGGCCCATCCCTGAGGAAGGGAACTGGGCCCCGGTGGCCACTAGATGGCAGTGCTCAGCTGCTGAGGTCTGAGCGGCCGCCAGGCCACAGCCGTTTAGAAGCAGGGAGAAAGCCAGTCTCACAGCTGTGGGCAGGCTTTCTAAACCCAAATTTGGATCACCCAGGGGGATCACCCCGTTTCTTCTCTGGAGTTGCCTCTGACTGCCATGGCAGTGCCCTCTAGGGGACAGAGAAAGGCAGTGGCCACGCAATAGCTGTATGATCTTGGATGACTTCAGGAAACTTCTCTGAGTTTCCATTTCCACAACCGTAAAATGAGGACTTGTCATCCTTACTTCCAAGGTAGTTGTGAGGATAAAATCAGTGAAAGCTGGACACAGCAGGTGCTCAAGAAGTCATAGCTTCCGTTTAATAACACCATCCGGGTGCTTTGCCTACCTTCACGGTAGCACGTCTGTGATGGGGTGGGCCCCGAGGGGTGGGAGCTGCGTCTTTGGGGGTAGGGGGCAGCAGCCAGAGGAGAGAGGGTGAGAGTCAGCACCGTTTGCCCCCAGGCGACTAGTTGTTCGTGGCTTTGGGTCTCCCAGGGGACATATGCACATGATCTCCAACTGCCCCGGAGGAGACTCAGAGTAGAGGCTCTTTCCCAGCCTGCTCTCTCACCTCGCTGACTCCCCTGGTGGGATCCGTCCCTCCATCCTTGCCCTTCCCCAACCCTAGACTTGAGGCCACAACTCCATCCGGTCTGAGAAGCTTTTGGTGTGTCAGCATCTCCCGTGGGTGTGGGTCTCCTCTGCACCTCAGCCTGAGGCGTCCCAAGGAGAGGGGCCATGTGTCTCTTGACGGATGGGGGCTTCCAGATGCTAGGACCTGTCTTCCCTTCAGAATGGGAACTCCCTAAGGATACGGTCTGTCTCCCGCTTTAGACTAAGGCACCCACAGGACAGAAGCCATCTTCCCCTTGGAGGGAGCTTCCTGATGCGAGAACCCATGGTTCACTGTCAGGTGGGAGCTCCTTGAGGGCAAGGGTCGTCTCCTGCTCTCAGTCAGAGGAGGGCTGCCTCAATCCAGCATTAGGTCCTTCTCCACTCCTCAGCCTGTGCCCAGCCAGGCTCTGCTGGTTAGAAGCGCCCGACTCCTGTGGTTGCAGAAGGGTTCCTGGCTGAACCTCTAGACTCCTTCCCCTTCCTCTTCCCTGGCCCCTCAGCACATCATCGTTGGAGGCATCAGCTCACTCACGTTCACAGACCCAGGGGTCAGGCTGCTGCGCTAGGGTTAATAAGCTCGAGCTCTTTCTCCCCGCTCTTCTCCCCTCAGCCAGGGCCCACTCCAGTATGCCCCCCACATCCCAGCCTCTAACCCTGAGACTGGCTTTTTAATTGCTTTCCCCCGATCAGCTCTGCTTCCCACTCCCCTCCATCTCCCTGCCTGACTGCATGCATCCCTCTGGGAGGGCGAGAGGCGGGGACCAGATGTGTCCCTGGCGGGAAGAGAGGACTGGCGGGCAGCCTGTTATTTCCAATCCAGTGGTCCTCCAAATAGACAGGATGAGCCAGGGAGCGGGGGTGGGAGGGCTGTGGGTGAGCTGAGGGGAGCCCTTAACGGTGTTCTGGAAAACACCATCAGTCTCCAGGCCCCTCAGGTGACTCTGGTCCCTTCCACCCCCAAAAACTCCATCCCAAGCCCTCCTGGGTCCCTCTTCACAAAAGAACCATGAAGGAGAAGACAGCCATGACTGGATTCTATCTGGGAACCACGTTTCC